TTCCTCTTGCCTCGTGTCCACACATCTTCACGTGCAGGTTGAAGGTCATTTCCTCAGGAGTCATTCCATGAGCCTACTGCCCGGCCGCTGCTGCCTGCAGACCATGTCATGTATCCCAGCATAGTCTTCCTCAACACCTTGCACTTCTCTTTTGTAGAACTTTGCACACATGTAGCAATTTAATTATTTGTGAACACTTGCTTAATGTCTGTTCTCTCCCGCCCCCATTAGACTATTAAGTTAGTGATGAGGCCCATTTGTTTCCCCCTCCTCCCTCCAAAGAGCCCCAGCACTTGACTGGTTTGCATCAGGCACATGGTGGGAACTCAGTTGGCCTATTTTGACCAATGGACTAATTTCTAACTTATTTTGCATCCTTTCCTTTTCCAGAGATATAATGGTTCTCAGTAGGGCAATTACCAGGAATCAGGAGACAGACAGGAGCATAGCTTATTAAAACATCTGAGAGAAAAGTCAGGGATGTGAATGGGGAGGAAGAGAGTGATACACACCAGTTTGTTAAGGAAGGAAAAGCCAGATTTTAAAGTTGGTGCCATGGGCAATTCAAACTATTGATGGATCTTTAAAGAGGGAAATGGCGTGATCAGATGGTTGCAATTCACCAGGAATGTTGTTTGGTTCATGAGGACAAAGACCATTTGTGCTGATAATCTTGACTTTAAGCCTGCTCTTCTTGGCTGGTTGTAATTTCATTTCCAGCTGTTATTTTGAAGGATATTTTACTGTGGTTTAGAAACCTTTCACACAAATGTAGATGGCAACAGTGATGTCGATAATAACAATGCACATAAGAATTGCTGAGCACTTACTGTGCACCAGGCACTGGGCTAGATCAGTGATCAAACGTTAGCAAACCTAACAAGCACAGGTGGATGGGGGGTGGGTGGGTGGCCTCTTGTTAACTGCACTGCTCATCTGATTGCTCTTCCCTGTACTGCGCTCCACACATGTTGTGTTTTTATAAATTGAAGGCAAGACCCTTCTCTATAAAACAGATTACAACTCACATTATCCCTACACTGGTGTTATTGGGGTGGTGGGGAGCTGGGCCCACAGTATCTCCGAGGTGTGCCTGTCCTGGTAGGCTCTAGTTTCAGAGTTTCTGATTCAATAGGTGTGAGAGAGGCTGAGAATTTTTGTGTATCTGACATATCCTCAGTGATACTGATGCTACTGGTTCAGGGGCCACACTTGGACAACCACTGTGCCTCACATCACTTAATCAACAACTGTAAAAGGCAAGTACCACTGTTGGGGGCCAGCCCCAGCAGGTCCAGGGGTTCCCAAAGGTGTGGACGGAGTCAGCGAAGAAGAATGACATGGAGTCAGCATTCAGTTGATCATCATAGCCAGGTTCCCTAGTGAGGTTCTCCAGCCAGGTTCTGTCTTTTATGGTCTTGTTACATCTGTATTTATACCAGTTGATTTTAATCCTATCAATTTCTATTTCAAGGGTTAGGGCATTTCTTATCTCCATTCCAGGGAGTAAAGATTATGTAGCTTAAGCATGATTGGTCATAGTTAAAGTGATTAACTACCCGCCTGGCACTTAGTTAAGGGGTTTTATTCCCTCCCTTGCTTCAGGGAAAAATCCCTACCTGGGGAAACAACCTTTTTGGGGGAGGTGACCTTGGTTAAGACACATAGCACCAAGAAGGTGAGAGAACATATTAAGAACAGTAGGCCACATACGCCAGGTCCCTTGAAACATATGCTGAGCAGATGTTTCTTCCCTGCAGCGACTGTGTCAAGCAAGGATGGACTGGCTTCTGGAAAATTCTCCCTTTTTTATTTTTCAAATGATCGCATGTAAATCAGTGGCCACCTCTCAGACTGGGTTGTTTAAGACTCGGAAGAATACTGACAAGCAATGATAGCAAGCGTAGCTATAATCATAGTAGTTGGTGTGCACAAGGAGCCTTGTTCCTGTAGAAGGTTGCTGGCCTCTTTAGTCAAGGGATTTCAGCTGTCCTCAAGTCGGTGGTTTGGTTGTCCTTGTTGATTTGGCGAGAAAAAGAAGAGAAAGCAAAAGAACTACAAGGCATGGAAGTGTTTAGAAAAAAGAGGGAGAAGAAAGGGAAGAAGGCAGCATCGTGACACAGCCTTTTCCTTCAGCTGCCCCTTTCCCTGTGGTCCAAGGTAGAAATGGGAAACAAGTCCTGTTGCAGTGAGAGGGCAGCTGCTGTCAGCCAGTCTCTGTCTTTACCTGGGTCCCAATCTGAGTGGGGCGTGGAAGCAAAGCAGCCAGGGGTGCAGGAGACCTCCCTAAGAAGGGGTGAGGGTTCAGACCTCTGCAAAGTTGGGGGGGTGAGAAGTGTCCCACTTCTGTTGACCCCCAAGTTGTCTCCTGATGGTCCCTCTGCAACTGTGCCTGTCTTAGGTTGTTCCTTCCCTGAGGAATCTTACCCGTCTCTGGCTAACCAGCCATCCTCCAGGGCCAAGCAGGGTGATGTGAGGTGTGCAAATGAGGGAGGGGCAGTGCCCCCCTTCAAGAGGTTCAGTTCTTTCTCCTTGGTAGCCTTTTGCCCCCGTGGCCTTCATGCCCAGCATCTGCTTTGGGTTCCCCTCACCTCCTGGCGGGGCCCCGGCTCTGGTCACATCTCTTGGGGACCCCAGGTTTCTTCTCCAGGGAGGGCCTAGCTCACACCATTGGGTGAGAGACAGATCCATGGCACTGGCCCCCATGAGGCCTCAACCTCAGCGTGAACAGAAAGCCCAGGCAACAATGTGGGCAAATGGACTGTGAGAAGAGGGTTCCTCTTGACACAAGGGCAAGAGGGACCAATACAGGACAAAGGAGGAATAGCCTGTCAGCATGTAGTCCCGGGACAGGGCTTTCTCAGCCCAGGATGTCAGGCTCTTGGCACAAGACAACTCCACGTATGGAGCATATACCAGACAGCCCCAGTCACGGCAGAAAAGGGAGGTACCCTTCCTAGAACAGTAGGGTAGGGAGATTCTAGAAAAGGCTGTGTTCAGGAGAGAAGGAGAAAGGCCAAAGAACCAGCAAACAAGTAGATTAAAAAAAAAAGAAAGAAAAAGGAAAGGAGATGTGGGGCAAAGGGGGACATATGGACAGAAAAAAGGAGGCACATGTGATCCTCCCAATGGACAGGTTGTTCCAGCTCAGGGCTGCACATCTGCTGCAGACGGGCACTGGTCAGGTGTGCTAACTCGGCCTCCCAGGGGTGACGGTTCCCAGGAGGGAGGCGGAGGCTGCTCCTTCTGGAAAGATACAAAACACACCTGTTCCTCACATCATTACTAGATCTGGTAAAACTCTTGTCTGGTTTGTGTATCCTTCTACCAGACTGAGTCAGCAGAGGCTATTGTACAGGAGGCCCTATGCCTTTTCAGATGTTAAGGGCCATTGTTCAATCCATATTGGTTGTGATGATTTCCAGACTATCGGATCAGCAGTTCTAAGGGTAATGGCCCCAATTATAAATCCTGTAGGGGAGTGTGAGGTATTACTTTCTTTTCCTAATCCCTTTTCTGGATTAAATCCCATGTCTAGCATTTGTGATGTTACTCTATCACTGGGGCTATATAATAGAACTCCCATTTGAGACAAGGTATCTCTTCCCCATAATGTAAAGGGAATAGTCGTAATTACATAGGGACAGAATGTTCCTGAATGTTGATCTTCATCAGCCCAAGTTAAAATCTGAGAACTCTTTTTTACATTAGATGCCTTGCCTAGTCCTACTAGGGAAGTGGAGGTGGTGTGCGTGGGCCATGAAGAGGGCCAATCCTTCCCTGCTATGCAGGAAACATCTGCTCTTGTATCCAATAGACCTTCAATTGGTTTTCCCTGAATTTGTAAAATTTTTGTAGGTCTAGCAGCATGGATTTCTTGTATCCAAAATGCTGCATCACTAGATCCAAAGCCTCCGACCCCTCTGGCTTCCTGGATAACAGTTGTCCCTATTTTATGTATTGGTAACGGGAATAATTGGGCAATTCTCTGGTTGGGCTGAATCTGTATAGTTGTGGTGGGTGGGAAAAGTGAAATCTGTATTTCTCCTGTGTAGTCTGCATCAACAACTCCTGGGATGGCTAAGATCCCCTGTAATGAGGTGGAGCTCCATCCTAATATCAAACCTACAGTTCCCTCAGGCAGTGGCTTGGACACACCTGTAGGAATGGCTGCTATTTGAGAGTCTGGGGTTAGTATTGCATGGGTGGTTGAATGGAGGTCCAATCCTGCACTGCCTGGGGTTGCTCTGAAGAGGTCACTGACTGACTGAAATTTGCAGAGGGGTTGAGGGTTGATGCCCCTATCATTGCAGGGGCCTGAGGCTGGCCCCCTCTCAAGTTTCCCAATTGAGATGATGGGATAGAACCTCCTTGGGAGTGGTTTGTAGAATTTAAAGGCCAACCATTTTTATGGTATTTTGATCTACATTCCTTTGCCCAATGGAATCCTTTCTGACATCGGGGACAAACAGTTTTTGGAGGATTAATATTATTCCCTGATGTATTTCCAGGCTGTTGAGGAGCTTGCCATCTGGCCTGAGTATTATTATTTTTATTTGGGCATTCTCTGCTAAAGTGCCCAGGTAAGCTATAAGAGTAGCAGTTCATATTTCTTTTATGAGGCATGTACTGCACGTGCTTTTCCTCTTTTTATTAAAATATATTTTATTGATTTTTCACAGAGAGGAAGGAAGAGGGATAGAGAGTTAGAAACATCAATAAGAGAGAAACATCGATCAGCTGCACACTCCCTACTGGGTCTGTGCCCGCAACCAAGGTACATGCCCTTGACCGGAATCCAACCTGGGACCCTTGAGTCCCCAGTCCGATGCTCTATCCACTGAGCCAAACTGGTTAGGGCCGGGCTTTTCCTTTTTTGAGGACACCTCCCTCTCTGCACACTTGTTTTGAACTTCTTTGTCATCTTTGCTTCTTTTGTCTTTGTTCTCAGGGTATCTTTGGTTTAGGGTATCTTCCTGATCTCACCATCACCTCATTTTTCACCTCAAAAGACAGTCCTTCATGAAGTGTCCAATTTTCCCACAAATACGGCAACATCTATCATTTGGGGCCAACTCTCCTTCAGTTAGCACATCTGGATCAAAAAAGTATTCCATATTTGAGGGGTAGTCCTTTGGAAATCCTTTGACTGGAATACCAAATACTCTTCTACCATTAATAAATGCTTTCAATATAAAATTGGTCATTTTCCTTGATAATCCAGCTGCAAGATTACGATTCAAATCAAAGGGATCTTCAATAACAATGTATTTTGAGGTCCACTGTTTCTTAAAAGTTACAAGCAGACTTTTTCTTCTGATGCTAATAACATGTTTTTTAAAATCAAAGTCATCTATGTAGAAATTCCAGCCATCAACAAATATTTCAGGTTTCTTTTCACCTTTGTATATCTCTTGAAGGACAGGAATGACTGGTGATTTCCTCTGCTGGAGAAAATATAGCACCATAAGTGTGTATGCATATGATGATAAGCTGCCTCTGGATGCATCACCAATATCACATATCTTTGCAAAAACTTTCATGGTATAGCATAAATATTTCACTCTGGGATCAATGGCTGAATAAGCAAATAGAAGCCTTGTGTTATGAAGGGCCAATGTGTTATACAAACAGATGTCCACTTCCAGACCACTTCTCCAATGGTAGGACTTTACAATTGGCACCTTTGCTGTTGTAATAGGCAAGATGTTTCTCAGATCTGAATGTTTTTTGAGGACTCTGGCCAATTCTTCAATAGTTCTTATACAGTCCAACCCCTCAGCAGTTTCAAGTCCATTAATTGTCATACAGACGTCAAGATCACTCTGTTTGAACCCAAATCCATTTTTGGAGGAGCCAAACAAGCTCAATTTAGTTCCTGGAAACTCCTGTCTTATGAAACTTTCTAGGTGTACTTAGACTCGCCTACCTTCTCATCCTCTTCAGATAGGGCACCCTCATCCCCTGATCCGGTATAGGCACTGTCTGCTACTTCTTTAGAATGTTCTGAACATGTAACAGTACTCAGAGGCTTCAGAAGGCTAGATTTTGTAATTTTTTGTGGGAGAGCAAAATATTTATATGTTGTTCTTAAACAATGAAGTATGTATTCAAACACAGGTTGACTGTTTAGGGTTCTTGCCACATTCCTTTCAACAGAGTAGGGATCTTCGATGGCAATGCGCTTTTTGGGCCAATCCTTTGATTCACGAGATATCATTTCTTTGACTCGGATACTTATCACTAAATCAGCCAAATTAAATTCTAAAGCATAGAATCGAAGCAATTCCACCCACAGCTGCCCAACTGGCACTGAAGGCTGGTGTTTTAAATCAAATATTAATGATTCCTGTCCTGTTTTAACAGGTATTTTTTTTAGTGCCTCTTCTTTTGCTGTGTCAGCATCCCCTGTGGCATTATCAGTGTATTCCCAGACCACGACGTCTTTCTGAATATCTTTTAGGTTGAAGTTGCCCAGTTTATTCAACGAGAATCCTTCAATCCATGATCCTAGATAAACAGGCAGAAGGGGTTCTTTCCTCTGCTGAAGAAAGAAAACTGTCATCAGGGCAAACACATACGGTGGCAAACCTCCTTCTTCAGGGCGATCTATACTGCAAAGCTTTGCCCAGTACCTAAATGCAATTACCAAAGGAACCAGTGTTGGTTCTAGTTTTCCAAGGGCAGTTAAGTGATTTGTTGTCAGACAAGCCTGTTCATTTCCTGCACTCACTTTACAACAAAGACCACTTTTCTTTTCTTTGCACGCCACCATTGGCATCCTAGCACGAAAATCTGCATCAACATCAATAAAAGAATCACTGTTCTTTAAACATTCCTGAACAAGTAGGAACACATCTGGCTGAGACATAATGGCTGGAAATTGAATGTCAATGTTTACATCCGAATTTTTGAAACCCAATTGGCTACAGGATGACCCATATAATCTTAGAGAACAATCTGGTAACTTGCGTTGTAACACATTTTCTATGATACGTTTAATTTCTAGTCTCTGTTCCAAGTTCTCATTGAGTAACCCAAACTCCTGTACAACTTTGTCAATGGCAGTACCAATTGCATTTATCTGGGAGGGCGTAGGCGGGGGTAATGTAGTGAGCAACTCTTTCTCCTGCTTCTCCTTAATGTTTTTCTTGTGCCTCTTCTCTTTCATATGCTCATGGGCAGATGCAATGGATTCAATGAAAACATCACAAAGTTTGCAGGTGTACTTTGCTGTAGGGTAGTTTCTCGGTGGCCTTTCCAGCTTGTCAGTGCAGTCCCTTTTCAATGGCTCCTCAGCCTGCTGTAAACCCAGGAGCTCCTTTGCTGAAAGCACAGGCTCGTGGATCACAGGGCCTTCCGAGTCCCCGTCCAGTTCACTTTCCCCATTTCTAGTCCTCCGTGGCTTCCTAGGTCTGGACTTCTGCATCTTGTCTTCATGGCGTCCTGTTTCCACTTCTGACATGGTTTCCAGGCTTGTCGGGTCTTTGTGAGATAGTCGCCTTACAGCTCTACAGCCTCTTCCATCTTGCCACTGATATCCATCCTCACTTTCTTGAAAGGAGTCTTTTCTTGGTCGGTTCAGAACAGGAATTCTAGGTCCTTGTCTGAATTCTCTCCAACTCTCTGAATTACCAGCAAGTTCATCTGATAGCCATCTCTTACTTTGATCTTTGTGGTTGTCATTTACCCAAACAGGTTGACTGTAAATTGGGTTTTTAAATGCATATGGATTGCTGGAAACAGCATATGGTCCTTTTCCAGGAGTATTCACATAGTTCCCTGGTGCTATCTTTTTCTTGGGAAGGCCTTTTCCCATGTTATTGCCATGGCCTTTAGCATAATCATCCATTATTAAATAATCTTGTTGAGGGTGACCCCTTGTTGGGGTCCAGCCCCAGCAGGTCCAGGGGTTCCCCAAGGTGTGGACAGAGTCGGCGAAGAAGGAATGACACGGAGACAGCGTTCAGTTGATCAGCAGCCTAGCCAGGTTCTCTAGCCAGGATCTCCAGCCAAGTTCTGTCTTTTATGGTCTTGTTACATCTGTATTTATACCAGTTGATTTTAATCCTATCAATTTCTATTCCAAAGGTTAGGGCATTTCTTATCTCCATTCCAGGGAGTAAAGATTATGTAGCTTAAGCATGATTGGTCGTAGTTAAAGTGATTAACTACCCGCCTGGCACTTAGTTAAGGGGTTTTATTCCCTCCCTTGCTTCAGGGAAAAATCCCTACCTGGGGAAACAACCTTTCTCGGGGAGGTGACCTTGGTTAAAACACATAGCACCAAGAAGGTGAGCAAACATAGTAAGAACAGTATGCCATATACACCAGGTCCCTTGAAACATATGCTGTGCAGATGTTTCTTCCCTGCAGCAACTGTGTCAAGCAGCAAGGATGGACTGGCTTCTGGCATACCACTATCATTTCCCTTTCACAGATGAGGAAACTGGACTTGACTGCACATCATTTTGAAACACTTAAAAATGAATTCATTACATAAAAGAGAGGACGAAGGGAGAATGACTCCACAGCAGGCTTTTGTTGGGAGGAACTATGAATGTAGGAGCTCTGGGCTTAGGTTCTATTGTTTACTAACTCTGTTGTAACCTTGGCTGAATCACTAACATTTTCCTAAGTCTCAGTTGCCTCATTTGAGAATAGGGATAATGATGTGTGCTCTACCAAGGCATAGCATTCTTGTGACGATTAAGTGAAATGATGTCTTTATGAACTCTTGGATACTAAACAAGTGTGAGCTTATTTTTGCCCTCATTCAAAGAGAAACTTTGCACCAAAGACACATCCCAGCTGGCAATAAGCGAGACTCGTTTATTTATTTATTTTTCTCTCTACAGCTGCCATAATGCTCAGCTCCTATTCAGGTAGTTATGTATAAATGATTTCCTTAGATTTTTTTTTCCTGGCAGGCATAAACAGAGACAAAATCTTTTTATATCATCTGTATGCTTTCCTGAAAGCACCAAATTATGGGCAGGACTAATGGGTTGAGAATGCTGAACGCCAGCTTATTGTGGCTTGCTTATGACATATCACCGTCTGAAAAACCATCACAGAGGGAGGGAAAAAGAAATCTCATAGTTTAAATAATAGTCGCATCTCTGCAATGATGACAGACTGTGACAGTTTATAGGTTTTAGATGACGACTCCTTCACGCTGTGAAAACAGATCAGCCGCCAGTGGGCCTACAATTATTGCCACACACATCTGTGGATTTTAAAAGGGAAATTGAGTGGGCAGCTGTCATTACACGCAGGTGAATTTAGTAGAATGAGCATATCCATCAAGCAGAGGTTAGGTTACTCTCTCTGCTCTGAATGGAGAGGGGAGGTGACAGACGTCTGAAGTTGTACCAGTAATGACTGCCATTTGTATAATACTCCCAAAGATTAGCACAGTTTCTTTATTGAATTCTACCAAATGGCACCTTCACTTTGCGCCCCTCACTCACTGAAATGCAAAGATTGCAGTATTTAAATAAAACGTTTTTTGAATGATATGCCAGTGACCTTCCAAGTACAAATCCAAGGATGTCCTCAGCCTTCATCCAACTGGACCGTTTGACATGCTGAGCCTCCTGCTTCACCTTCTTTCCTTCCGAGGCTTCCCTGCCAGTCGAAGTAGAGAAGAAGGGAGATTGGATACTGGGCAGAGAAAGAGGAAATAAAACCACTTCTATATAATGTTTACCTGGCTTTTATTTCTCAACGATAGCACCTACCAGGCTGTGTGGCAATTTATTGTACTGGCCTATTAAACTGTCTTAGGGGGCTAGGCAGTGCATTCCTCAATGTAGTACACACAATGCCTTATACATAGTAAGTGCTTGATAAATGCTTAGTGAATGAATGAATAATTTTTTAAAATTTGTTTTTATTTAAGTATAGTTGGTATCCAATCTTATATTGGTTATATTAGTTTCATGTGTGCAACATTGTGATTCAACATTTTTATATCTCAAGATGTGATCATCCACTAATTCTTGTAATCAATTGTCACTGTGCAAACTTACCACAATATTGTTAACTATATTCACCTTCCCCTTTTTACCCATCCCTCCACCCTCCCTCTTCTGATAACAATTTCTTTGGTCTCTGTTTATATGATTCTGCTTTTGTTTTGTTTTTAGATTCCACAAATAAGTGAAACCATTTGTCTTTGACTTATTTCACTGAGCATAATACTGTCTAGATCCATCCATGTTGTCACAAAGGGCAAGATTTCATTCTTTTTTTTATTGCTGTGTGTGTGTGGACACACATATCACCATCTGAAAAGCCATCACAGAGAAAAAAAATCATTCAGTTAATCTAAATGATGGTCACATCTTTACAATGATGATAGACTGTGACAGTTTATAGGTTTTAGATGGTGACTCTTTCACTCTGTAAAAACAGATCAGCTGCCAGTGGATACATCCACACCCCCACACCCCCACAGCACTATTTCTTTATCTATTCATCTATCAATGGATGCCTAGGTTGCTACCATATCTTGGCTATTGTAAATAATGCTGCAATGAACATGGGGGAACATATATTTTTCAAATTAGTGTTTTCATTTTCTTTGGATAAATACACAAATTGGAAGTACTGGGTTGTATGGTATATCCATTTTTAGTTTTTGAAGAATCTCCATACTGTTTTCCATAGGGGCTGCTGCAGTTTGCAATCCCAGCAACAGTGTGTAAGAGTTCCCTTTTCTCCACCTCCTCTCCAAGAAATTATTTGTTGATGTTCTGATTGTGTGATGTAGTCCCATGTTTATTCTTTTGTTTCCCTTGCTTGAGGGAACGTATCCAAAAAGATATTATTCAAGTGATGTTGGATAGTTTATTTCCTATGTTTTCTTCTAGGAGTTTTATTGTTTCAGGCCTTACATTTAAGTCTTTAAACCATCTTGAGTTTGTTTTTGAATATGATATAAGAGAGTGGTCCAGAGTGTTTTTTTGCACATACCTGTCCAGTTTTCCCAACTCCATTTGTTGAAGAAACTGTTGCTACGCCAGTATATATTTTTACCTTCCTTGTCATGGGTTAATTGACCATATAAGTGAGAGTTTATTTTTGATATCTCTATTCCATTCCATTGATCTATGTCTGTTTTTGTGCCAGTACCTTATAGTTTTGATTATTATAGCTTTGTAATATAGTTTGAGATCAGAGATCATGATACCTTCAACTTTGTTCTTCTTAAGATTGCTTTGGCTGTACTCAAGATTTTTTGTGATTCCATACAAATTTATGAATTATTTGTTTTGGTCTGAGAAGAATGATATTGATATTTTGATAGTAATTACATTGAATCTGTAAATTGTTTTGGGTATATGATCAACTTAACAATATTAATTAATCCTTCCTACACATGAGCATGGTATACCCTTTCTTTTATTTGTGTTCTTTACAATTTCTTTTTCAATGTCATAATTTACAGAGTAGAGGTCTTTCACCTCCTTGGTTAAGTTTATTCCTAGGTATTTTATTCTTTTTGATACAACTGTAAATAAATATTTGTATCCACATATAATAGCCTAAGAGATGTCCAACAATTTAGAAGAATTTTTATGTTGTATAATGCTCTGTTTTAAAATACACATGTATTCATACATGTTACTGCTATAGTCATTTCACCAGCTTGGTTACAAATACAGCCACATCTCTCTCACCTCTAAAATATTTTGGGATACCAGAGTTTTATTTTAGTTGAAAAATCCACACCTTTCTTGAAAACTATTCCACCTTGATTTGTTATAAAACCTCAGGGGTTTACTTACTCTAAATGGATCTGTGAGTACCTGATTGGTTCAATAGTGGGCCGTGGCTTTAGGAGTCACTGCTTCTGTTTGATTGGTCCATATGCGTTCTTGCCTGCCTTCCAACCCTGATCCTTTATTGAGTTTCTTCTCTGGGTCACATATTGTTCTAGGTCAGGCGTCCTCAAACTATGGCCCGCGGGCCACATTCAAATACAAATATTGTATTTGTTCCTATTTTGTTTTTGGTTTTTTTACTTCAAAATAAGATATGTGCAGTGTGCATAGAAATTTGTTCATAGTTTTTTTTAAAACTATAGTCCGGCCCTCCAATGGTCTGAGGGACAGTGAACTGGCCCCCTGTTTAAAAAGTTTGAGGGCCCCTGTTCTAGGGTTACTATGTCATGTGTCTCTGTTCTCTGCTGTAGTTATAGGCACCAATCTATTGGCTGTTTCAGATACCTACATAGACTACATGAGACTCCATGCTCAGAATTTCAAGGTTACCTCTTTTGCATTTTATTGGACTCAACATAACAGGCTGAGTCTCAAGGCTCTTCGAGGCTCAGCCACACACTTGTGCAGGGACTAACCTTTTCCCCAGACCTTAGGCTCTCACTTTAAGGGAATGAAATTAACCCAGAATTGTCTTACCATTCTGGAGCCCTTGTGGTCCTTTCCTACCTCCAGGCCATTTTCAGGAACATCCCAAATATTCTAATAACATTGAACTTCAAAAAGTGAAAATATGATGCTCACCTTCCTTTCCTCCTAGGAGACTCAGAGACACTTATGCAAAATTGTCTAACCTCTCCACAAATGCTGACTCTGTATTTTAAGGGAGATAGGGAGGGTGAGATGTCTGGTTCCAGAAGGTTCTGTTATGTCTTTCCCCCAGGCAAAAGGAACCTGCTACCCTTATTTTTGTGTAACTAAGTGATGTCAGTCAAGTGACTCTTCTCTGAAAAAGGAAAATTTACTCCAAGGTGTCCTATGTTCATCTGTAGATGCAAGAGTTTTGAAATAAATGCTATTTTACAATTTCTTCTCAACACGTGCGCGCACACACATGCACACAAACACACACATGCACACACACGCACACACACACATGCACAGACTCTTAATGTCCACAGAGAGTGTTAACAATAACCATCTCAGGGGTCAGGGGCAGACCTGTGCTTTCCCTCCATTGTGTGTGATTGGTTGGCACATGGTACATGTTGGCGGATAGCTTGGCGTCTGCCATCTTTAAGTTGTGCTTACGGCCTCCTCTGTGCTGCCATAGATTTCTAAAGCCAGTGCTGCCTCCAGCTCCCATGCTCCAGTTGGTGAAGGGAATAGTAAAGAGGTTTGGATTCCATGGCTCCTACAAAGTCAATTACTTGCAAATCCACAAGTGGTAAATCATGGAGGATGCAAATGACTACAAAAGCCGCTTGCAAGACTGCGCCCACTACTGGACGAGTGAAGAAACCTCATCTTTACAGGCCTGGTACTGTGTACTCTATATGTTATCAGAAGTCCACTGACCTAATTGGAAAACTTCCCTTCCAGTGTCTGGTGTGATAAATTGCTCAGGACCTCAAAATAGATTTGGGCTCCTAGAATACAGCTCTTGGTACTTTGCAGGAGGCACATGAGGCCTATCCGGCTGCCTTTTTGAAGACAGCAACCTGTGTGCTATCTATGCCAAACGTGTAACAATTATGCCAAAAGACACCCAGCCAGCATGCCGTATACTTGGATAAAGTGCTTAAGAATCCACTATGGTGGGAAACATTTCATTCTTTTAAAAAATATTCTCTTCTTCCTGCTATTGGTAGTTCTGAGCATTAGATATTTTTTCCCACGGCGTCAAAAAGTACCTAGTATATGATTGCAAGTGGAAAATGGGGATAGAAATCAGGTATTGGCAGTCTTTCCATTTTCGTTTGTGTGTGAATTTTTAATATAAATGCAGAAACATAAAGCATTAATGCAAGTCAAATGTTTCAGTGAGCAAGTTTCAGCAGTTCAATTTTATAACAATTTAAGCAAACCTTTAAAATTTTTCTGGACAAGACCAGCATTTGGACTCTTTAAAAATAAATTTCTTATTGATGGCAACTAAAACCAAAACAAACTAAAAAGAAACCAATAACCATCTCTGGATAATAAGATTGCAAAAATATGACTTTATTTTTTTCTTATTTACCTCGATAAATACATGTTATTTGAACAATAAAATGTTAAAAGTTAGTAAAATAAAGAGATATAGAGCAAATAAACCCACAATTGTAGAGTGAAAGATATCAACCACATAGGCCAGAACTGGAATGTCTTTGAAAATAAAACATGGCAATCTTAGTCTCCTTTTCACATCAAACTCAGTTTCAGGTGAGTTTATAATATCAAAGCACCTGTACTACTTGCCTACTTTCTGAAACGCAGGTGATGGTGATACACCATATATATATATACAGTTCAGTGACATTTGCTGAGCTATTTTTCATAGAACTCTGAATATAAATCTTAACTATACTCTCCATTTTGGAATTTATTATTTTTCTGATAAAGCATATAGATGGACAAGTGATTTCAAAACTTTTATTGCAGAAAGAGAACAAGTTGTTGCCTCCACTTCTGTTTACATTCCGTTTTATTGCCAATCTAAACTTTTCTAAGGTAGATAGCTCATCCACTGCCATCTTTTCAGGAAGGCTAGCAAAATCTTTCAGGCAATCTCTTTCACATATAATTATTCAGAAATACAATTTTTTAGCTGTTGATTTAATCTCAAAACCTATCCTCCAAACAAAATAATCCTACAGCAGCACTTTACTCTTCAAATGCGAAGTAGAAGAGACTGATGCCCACACGTTTGAGACAGACAACATATGCAGAACGTGCTCTGGGTGGTCAGAATTGGAAACCCCCTACACCAGTTCAATATGGTGAGAGAGCAACTCCCTCCTCTGCCATCAGCTGTGGCAGGGGGGCCTGCAGAAACTCGCACTCCCTGCACAGCTGGGAGGGGATGAGAAAGGTGATTTCATTAGGAAGCAGATTCTGAACTGGAAGAGAGTTGCTTTTACAAATTTCATAATAAAAACGGATTATTGTTTTTTTCACATGCTTATTCTGCAAATGTTCAGCGTTGTTTCTGTCAGCTAGGTTTAATTTCCTAATTTGGCTCCGGTTTGCATGTGCAACGGATTTGAATAAGTTAAAGGGAGGGTGTTAAGGGTTTTTTTTTGGGAGAGGGGCAGTGGGACTGCTCAATCACACGAACTTCATGATCTTCAATGGGCTACTTGCAGTCAGATGTCACGGAACTCAGTGGGCGAGAGATGCTCTGCGTTATTGAATCATGAAATAACCTAACATGTGATTGAGTCATAGAATCAGGGATTGTTTTTGTTGGCTGGGGACCATGGTGGAGGGTGGGGTGCACAAGTTGAACAGTGTCTGGGGGCAGCTTGGGAGTTTTTCTCATAAGCCACACAACAAACCCCCTCTTCCTGACCACTCCCAACTTCCCTTAGTCATGGCAAGGAACAATTCCTTAGGGATGGAAATGTTTATTCAGAAAAAAATTCTTAGAAGATTCTAATAGGATCCACTGGCTGAGAATCATAAATTTTATATTCACATGAAAAACACACACAAAAGAAATCCCAGGGAGGTAAAATAACATCCATGCACTAGAACAGCCGTGGGCAAACTATGGCCCGCGGGCCGGATCCGGCCCGTTTGAAATGAATAAAACTATTGAAATAAAAGACCGTACCCTTTTATGTAATGATGTCTACTTTGAATTTATATTAGTTCACACAAACACTCCATCCATGCTTTTGTTCCGGCCCTCCGGTCCAGTTTAAGAACCCATTGTGGCCCTCGAGTCAAAAAGTTTGCCCACCCCTGCACTAGAACCTACTTTTTAGACCATTTCTCTTTAAAATCCATTTACAGGTAAATATACAATCATGCACACTTAACAATAGGAATATGTTCTGAGCAACGTGTTGTTCGGTGAGTTTGTTGCTGTGCCAGCACCATAGAGTGCACTTATGCAAATCTAGATAGCCTCACACTGTAATGTAGGTGCTAAACTTTTATCCAACTGGCAACAGTAGGTTTGTTTACACCAGCAGCAGCACAAACCAGTGACTAATGTGTTGTGGTACAACAGGTGATAGGAATTTTTCAGTTCCATTAGATTCTTATGGG